CTTTTGCCCGCTGGGGAACCGGGACCGCAGACTTGGTGGCGGCGGCGACGCCGCTCCGTCTCCCGGGCACGCCAGGTGGAGCTGCTCCTGGTGGCTGATGCGTCCATGGCGAAGATGTACGGCCGAGGCCTACAGCACTACCTGCTGACCCTGGCTTCCATTGCCAACCGGCTGTACAGCCACGCCAGCATAGAGAACCACATCCGCCTGGCTGTGGTGAAGGTGGTAGTGTTGGGAGACAAGGACAAGAGCCTGGAGGTGAGCAAGAACGCAGCCACCACGCTCAGGAACTTTTGCAAATGGCAGCACCAGCACAACCAGCTGGAAGATAACCATGACGAGCACTACGATGCCGCCATCCTGTTCACTCGGGAGGTAGGTGTCACTGGGGTAGGCACGCCGGGCTCTGGGAGGTAGAGGGGACGCATACCACCTGCCACTATGGATTTGTTTAAATGCGTTTTGCAGGAACCCCAGCCAGTCTCTATGTCTCTGCCTTTAGCCTCAGTAGGGATTTCTGCCCGAGACACTACAGCTCCTTAGGGGATCAGCAGTTCAAGATGCTGGATGTCATCCCGTCTGAGATAGGCTGGCACGGTCACTTAAACTCGGTAAGAAGTGCTAGAGTGGTGGAAAATGTACATAGTTAAATGGGGAACAAGGAAAGCAGTTCACCTTTGGAATCATCAGTCTTATACTTTCCAGCAAATCCCAAATGAGAACTTTGGTCAACCTGATAGAAAGAGCTTGGTGGCTAGTCTGTGGTAATCACTTTTATCTCATGACTTTCCTTTGTCATGTCCCTATGTGAACCCCTTCTGCAGCACAAGTGAAGGGAAGACTTTCCAAGGACTCCTCCTAAACTGGCTCTCTACTGGAGTTCTTACACATCCACCTTGGAATCTGGCTTCCTGGGAAGGAAGGAAGGAATGTGGGAGGGGCAGAAGTATGCAGAAGCCCAATCAGCTGAAGGGACAAACTCCAGAGGTTCCTGAACAAGCCCTACCCTAGTCAGTTAGTGTATCATAAGCACTGCCCTGGCCAGCTTACCCACCAAAGAAGGGCTGAATCCAATTCCCAGGTTTGGGTTTTGGATGAGTGTTTCTGAAGTCCTGATTCAGAGTAACTTGGGCAAAGAGTCAGGACACAAAGAAGGAATGTCTTACCAGGATTTCCTCATTTAAAGAAGTGGATCTTTATAATTTCAGCAGCTCTGAGAGGAAGGCAGTACCTGTTCCTGTGGTTTTTAGACCACCAAGTTAGTGTGACATTGAGGCAAAGTCCGGATTGCTTTGGGGCCTGGCTTGCTGGTAGTTCTGAGCCTCAGTTTTCACAACTCTGCTTTGATTGGCAGTTTTAAACGGTGTCTTTCAAATAGCTGGGAAAAATCAGCTTCTAAAGCTCGTTCTTTAGGTGTCTGAGATCCATCCAAAACAGATGAAGGATTATAAACATTGAAGTATTATGTAAAGACATGAAATGGGTCAAACAGAGCAAGAATAGGAAATTAATGATGCCTTGCAGGAAACTCTAGAATCATTACTAATTTTTCTATTTCTTAAAGTGCCCATGGTATGAAGGAAAAGCATTGATAAATTTGGAGTAGAGAAACGCTTGTGGTTCCTGAGGTGGACTTAGATGTAGACCCCATGTAAATAAAGAGATTAGAGGGGCTACGATACCGGGAGAACTAGACAGTGCACAGGCCAGTGCACCATGGGAAATCTTTCTCCTCATTAAGTGATATTATTCTGGAAGTCATCCTTTAATTCCGCTGCACAATATTAGTCTTTGAAATGGTAGAGCTTTTAGTGTTCAGCCTGCCCTGTGAAGTTCTCCTGTAAAACTATCCTTTTCTTATTTGGATTCCAAGCCATTTTTTTTTTTTTATAAGCAACTTTCCATGCCTGGGTTTCCTTGATTTGCTAACTTCACAAAAGCCTGCCAAGAAGGAGGCTTTGGAGAGTTTACGGAATGAAGTTCCCTAAAGAAAGAAGAAAAAATACTTTTGTGGCTATATAACTCCAAAGACCAGGTCATTTTAATAATTTGCTTTAATTTTAAATAAAAACATATTCTTCATGCTTCTAAAATAAATAAAAATGAGTAGAAGGCCCATCATTCATTGCCCTCTGACCCATAATATAATTTTCCTGATTGTTTCCCAGCCAAAAAAAAAACAGGCAGGGATTCTAAATGGTGTTTGTTGCTTTTTCTGGGTTTCCTTTTTGCTTGAGTAGTTAGTTAACAATTCCTAATTTCTATTTCTAAACTGTGAAACTTACCAACACATGTTAAATAGGTGAAAGCAAAGGATAAATTAATTAATAGAAATTACTTAATATATTAATTTTAATAATTTTTGTAATAACATACTTTTTTCAAACTAATGTGCATATGGAAAATATTTTGCATGATGCCTTCCTGGCCTCTTTGCCAAAGAGAAGCATAGCTAAGGTAGAGCAAATGTCATTTAGCCTGGAGTTGGCCTGCTGCTGTATAAATCTAATTTTATTACTGAATATTTGAAAAACACTTGTATTATGAATATATGCAGGCAATTTAAAAAGTTTCAAGACCCATATGCAGCACTCATTTGTAAAGTTAATCTCCTAATCATTAAGAATGTGAAAACTAAGAAGGCCAGAGGAGAGATAAATCTGAATGCTTCAATCTCATGGAAACCAGACATCATAAGGCTTAAATAAACACTTTCCTAGCTATTTCCTTTCAATGAGAAATACCCAGAGTTGGCACCAAGATTCTACTTTTACTACTCTGTTTTGAATGTAAGAAGTGTGTTGCTTAGCAGCCCAATGCTAAGGCATCAAATCCATGTTTTGATGGGCTCGGAGTCCTGTTCAAATTGTCTGTCCAAATGTCTTCTCCTAAATTGCTTGTTTTCCAGGCATGCAATGAATGTCTGAGGATATGTTTTCCACCAGTGTTTACCAGCCCAGACCACCTTGAACTATGGATGTCAGCAAATAGTATTAAAATGCACCTGTCACCTAATACACTGCACTGTCAGGACTGTAACCCAGCACTTTTGTACTGCTCTAACTAGAGAACTTAGCTGTCCTGGATTTGCTAGCAGTGGAGCCATTTTCACTGTGGAATGGCACTTATGCTGGAATTCACAGCATTTATGCCATCAAACAGTAGAAATCCAGTCTCCCCTGGGTTTATTTTTCCTTTCCAGAGTCCTTTCTTGTTTCTGACTATCTTCTTAAACCCATGTGTGGCTTGAGCACTCTTCCTAAGAAACAAAACCCTGGCTGATAACAAAATTGAAAGCTGTTTAAGATCTCCTGCAAACCAGAGAAAGATTTACCCTTTCAAGCATTGAAAGCATTAGTTTGAGTTGAACCACCTAAGTGCCTGTGTAATATTTGTTTCATTTATCTTTATTAACTATCAGTGTGGCATTTAACAGGCTATTGTCTCCCAGCCAAACCCTCTCTTCTCCCATTCTGCCTTTGAGGCTGGACTTCAAGATCTTTTTTCTTTACCTCCTCGTTTCTTCTTGGGTCCTGACAATAGGGGGTGCTAGAGGGAGACTCGAAGCTTGGGAGAGAGGGATGTGCTTTTTCATGCTGGCTTACTGATTAGACCAACCAACAATCACATTTTAGTTCAAATTCATTTAAAAGTGGACCCTTATCAAGAAATCATAGGCTATACATGAAAGACTAACCCACAAATGGAAGTTGAGGAGCAAATTGAGGTGTTCTAGTTGACACTTTTAAAATAAAACGAGAACAATTCTGAAAAACCTGGCCTTTGAGAGACAATATACCACAATGCACAGGACCTGTTACACGCTTGTGCTTCTCACATTGGCAGATAGCTGTGTGCACCGCTGTGTATGAGACACTCAGGCAGCTGAAGGTAACGGAGGAAAATGCCTGGTCCTGCCCACCAAGCTTAACATCAGCAGAGAGCAAACAGATACATGCATTAGTCATTCTAGTGTTAGGAAAACTAATAAATGCTGCAATTGAGGTATAAACAGTGCCTGTGAAAGGCAAGAGAACACTTCTATCTGTGGGTTGCCACACAGGTCTGACTGCAAATGGAGAACTGAATTGGTCCTCAGAGAATTGACAGATCTGATTTAGATTCAGCCACCCGCTATTAAGTATTTTTATGTGTGCTCTCCATGGGCATAAACCATTTTATAATCTTTGGCTTCGGCAATCTGCAACCATTATATATCTATATTTTTAATTTTACAGATAAGGAACTTGTGTGAAGAGGAACAAAGATACTCTTAGAACAATAGCTTACAAATGGCAAAAAGAGAGATAGTCCTGGCTAGTGCGCTAAACATTAAAAATAGCTAATTTATTGAAACATTCAATATGTCATAGGTTTTAAATTGACACCTTTCTTAAGAATCCATTCTGGGAAATAGATAAAGAATGGGTTACTATGGCTTAGCATAATGACTTTTATGATACATAGATGTGGTTGTCAAACATGATAGAAGAATATTGTGAAGAAAGAGTAGGAGTTAGCCTGACCATACGGTGGTGGGCACCAGAGACACACCAGACCAACACGTGTAATCGTGATGATTCTGTGACTTACAGGAGGAAACACAACAGGAAAAATAAGGGTGGTGTGGTGGTGAATTGGTTGGAGAAGACATTGAGAACCAAATTACAGAAGAAATGGCACATCATATGTGTTTGTCATAGAATGGCTGGCTTTAAGAGAAACATATTTTCATTTAGTTTCAGATGCTGGAAAGTTGAAGATGAAAGTTCTAGTCCATTCAGTTTCTAGTGAGGCTTCATTTCCTGCCTCTTGCCCTTTTTCCTTGACATTCCCTCACGTGGCCTTTCCTCCAAGTGAGGAGGGATGGACAGACAGGGAAACAGAGACAGAGCAAAGCAGGAAGTCGCTTTAATGCACCAATCCTATCTGATCTGGGTTCCATGATTATGATTTCATTTCATCTCTTTTACTCTCTCATAAACCATTTCTCCAAATCCTGTCACATTGCAGATTAGGGATTTGGTTTAACAATTTAGGGAAACACAATTCACTCCAAAACACCATGCTAAGAAGTTGACATTATAAACTAAGTGCAGTGGGAAGGAAAAGCAGTGGTCACAGCTCTTTAATGAGCTTCTGGCCTAGGTGGCTGCACTGGATCCTATGGGATCCAGGCTATTTCCACAATCTAAACTGCAGAGGAAGCTCAAGATGGCCTAAACTAAAGCCGGGGCATTGGGAAGTAATGCATGACCCAGGCAAGAAGTGCTAAAAAGAGGTAGATGTGGGTAAATAATGTTTTCTAGCAGAAAGAATATTTTGTGCTAAAGGCTGTGGAACAAACTATTCATGAAATGTACAGGAAATCATGG